ATTTCATGCAATTTGTATTAAAATAAAACGCCTTCACAACAAATAAAACAAATTTGACAAAACAAACCGGTTTACTTCCTTAGCACTGTTTAAAGTTTTACGAGACTACCGGTACCTATAGTATTTGTCGTCCGAAGAAATAAAATGTTGGGTGATGTAAGACCAGAAGTTGGTGAATAAAGTGACATCCCTGTAGTAAACGAAGGCGAAGCTGGAGATAATGTAGCTGGTCATGAACATGCAAAACATTACGCAACACAAATACAGCCTGGAGTGCTTTCTGACTATCATGTCTGATGCTAAACGAATGCTGAAAATTTAATAATAGGGAAACAGACACACGGTTTGAATACTTGGAAAACTATTTATGTAAATATGTTTATAGATTGAGACTTTGTGCTTTTGGTATTGTCAGATATGACTACAGAGAAGAGAGAAGAGATAATCTTATTAAGAAAGAGAGTAAATGGAACAAACGTTGTAAATCATGACTTAATCAAACAGAAATCAATACCTAAAACATGTCTTTTTATTTTAAAATAATTGAGAATCAGTGTAGTCCACTGACAAATACTTAAAGGCTAAGTTAGGACGCCGACAGCGATTCGACATGGCCGCAGATGCACCTAAGATTTATCTACTCTAAGCCGCAAAACTACTTACTTATTATCCGTGCGGTGACGGAGCAAGAATACTATTCACCGCCCTTTGGGTGTGTTGCAAGAGGCGACTAAGGGAATACTGGTGAATACCGCTCTACTGGTGGTACAGGTCGCGGCACGTAACTCTAGCGCTGAACAAGACGCAGCTGCGCATGCGTACGACTGGAGAGCCAATCGGCGCAACGCACGCTCACCCGCTCACCTCGTTTCCCCCCAAGACATCTTAATTTTTACTTCTGCGCAATAAAGGTAAGCGCTAGTTTCGTGCCGCGACTTATAGCACGTATAACGCCTGGTTAGTTACCACTGTGCGCATAGTGTGAAACCCATGAAGTGTGAATGTACAACCAAAGCTGCCCAGCGCTTTGCACGAGTTGTTCAAGAAGATCGCGTTTCCTACGGACTCCCGTAGTTATTGGCGTTTAGCCAAAGTCCTGCAATAACTTCTGCCAACCCTCGCCGCTGCCACCTCTCAGATGTCCAGATGGATCACTAGCTCATAAGCCGCAGGAGAAAGCCGATTTTCTGGTAAAACTCTGTCTAGCTAACTCCCGAATCTATGGTTTCTATACACTGCCACCTACCTACATTACCTCATTGTGGCACTACGATGCCTGGTATTAATCAAGCACCGTGATGTTCTTGCAGAGTTGCAATTACTCGACATCCGGACGGCTAGGTGGACCTGATTGCATCCCAGTAGTAGGTATTAAACTTTTTGCAGCTGAGTTCTCTCCTACACTTTGAGGCTTGTGCCGGAGATTTGGAGAGATGCCAATGAGCAACCGGTGTCCAAAACAGGGAACCGCTCAGACCCGGCCAATTACCGGTCTATAGCTGTCACCTTAGTAGTGCAGTCTTAGCTCCGTATTACAGAATGACAACTAAGTGTCGATCTTTACTTGAGTAGTTAGAAAGGGATCGCTATGTGGTATATATAGCGACATCCCTTTCTAACTATGCTCAAGTCAAGATTAGATCAACCACTGAGAATCTTTCTATAATACAGGCCTTAAAGTTTCTGATCGACGATCGCCAAACGCTTTCACGGAAAAAAAGGCAAAAACGCTTTCTCAGCAATAAACATTCCTTCCCCTTCCCTCCCTTTAAGGCACATCACAGGCACTACAGAGCTACGGTATGAAAGTTTTATTTGAAAAAAAGATGGGCCATTTAGCGACTTCATTGAATAACCGAATATTATTCGGTTTGATTTTAAAACCGAATATTCGGCATAACTATCTGCATTTTTCGCACGAACCTCTGACTTTCCATCACCCGCTAGTATGTTGCTATGTATGCTAGTACGAACCAATATCGAATTCGAATAGTTTACGAGTCCGAAATGTCATTGTCAATTGTGTACTGATTTTTATTTCTCGTTACGTCCGTTGTGGCGCTGCTGTTCAAGTTTCCATACAAAATTTGACGGCATTTCGGAATCGCAAACTATTCGAATTCGATATTGCTTCCTACTAGGGATACAATTCGTTGTAATAAGTCATACATATTATTACGGATTGTGTTTAATAATCTTTAATTAATTCTGCGCCTTATTTTGAGGTTTATAACTGTAAGGTGTTAAACTGTTTCGAAGAAGCGTACGATGCATGGCGTAAAAAAACGACAGCAATAAATTAATATAGGTATTTTATTAGTAAAATTAAATCACAGAAACGAAATTTCCATGCACCATTAATTAAAAAAAAATAAACAGCAGACTTGTACCTCGTGATTATCGTATCAATTTTATAAAATTAATGCAAACGACTTTGTTTTTGCTATCAACTGAATCGACCACAGTGACCTTAGCACGAACCAATATCGAATTCGAATAGTTAGCGAATGCTAAGTGCCATTGTCAAATGTGTACTGATTTTTAGTTCTCTTTATGTCCGTTATGGCGCTGCTGGTCGAAACCATAAAAAAATTGACAATGACATTTCGGTCTCGCAAACAATTATATTTCGATATTGGTTCGTGCTAGGGGTACAGTACCCCTAGCATGAACCAGTTACGAATTCTTATCGTTTGCGAGTCTGAAATGTCATGGTCAAATTTTTAGTTTCCGTTAGAGGAAGGGGAGGCATGACGGGGTAGCGAGGTAAGATGGGGTACCGCACACATAGAAGAAACTAGACGTCTGTGAATATAAAACAATAAGCCAATAGAAAGCCTCATTCAACCAACGGTTAGTGCGAGAGAAACTGTGAACGGTAATGCACGCGTCTTTTGTTAACAAACGGAAAACTGGTTTAGCGTTTCGTCGATCTAATTTTTTGTAAGTTGAAACATCATTTTTTTAAGGTAATTATGATCGCCCCATTTATGTCTTTTTGATTTTTGGTTACTAGTGTTACGTATTTTGATATGGTATGTAGTTTGTACTTTGTGCCGCTGCTGTTAAAGTTTCCATAAAAAAAATGACAGTGACATTTCGGACTCGCAAACAATTATAATTCGATATTGGTTCGTGCTAGGGGTACAGAACAGAAAAAGAGGTTAGAATGGGCTTGTGGGCGGGGCAAGCGCGCCACAGTCATATGTGAGCAAATGCTCATAACTTGACTAAAACTTGGTTCCGATTGCCTCTTAGCTCTCAGTTTGAGTCGTTTGATTGGCTATTATCTAGTAGGTGGCAGTGTAGTGGGGGCGATGAGCACGCGACATCGGTTTCCATAAAAACGGTCTATTAACACCCATCCAACCTCTTTGTGTGTTCCGTGAAATCGACAATGTAAAAATATATCAACATTCGATGTATCGTGAACTTCGACGTGTTGTGTCCTACTGTAAAGGTTGATTTACACCGAGGCAAAAACGCGCGATGGCGGCTTATGCTAGATATTGTGGCATGGGTCATAATTTTTATGTTATAAGGGTGGAAAACCTATAAACGGTTGCGATACAAAAAAATATAACCCGCCCTGACTCAATCCCCTACCCCGTGGGGCTTTGGAAACTTACTCACTGACAAAAACACAACACCAGCAAAAGTCAGTGTTAATTTACTGTAGTCTTCTCTAAGTTGTAGGTTCACTTCGCTATTTCTATAATCCTCAATAAAGTCTGAATATTTTTTTGTTACACATTTCTCACTTTTAAAAACAAATAGTCTGTGCGGAAAGAGAAAGGGATTTAGATTGGAGGGCGCTGTAGTGTTTTTCTACCGTATTTGTAAGGTTTTACCCCTTTTAGACATGATTAAATACAAAAAACTGCAAGAAATCACAGCAACAAACAAATCCGTATCAATACAAAACTTTTGACGTTTTACAGATTGCTGGGTTTGATTGCCAAATAAAAATCTTAATGTTAGTTCCGTTTTTCGCCACGCCCATTCTCTTTCCGCACAGAGTCTACAAGCAAAATTTTGCATACAAACTGTTTTGTCGCACAAAGTCTACTGTTTTTGACGACATCCGTTGCCGAGTGGTTTGTACGCCGGGATTCAGGGTGTCGCCGACTCGAGAATCCCGTTGGGAGCAGATGTTTGTGTGATGAATACGAACATTTGTACTCCAATCATGGATGTCTAATATGTATTTCTATATGAATATACTTTTATATAAGTTCAGTATATATGTATTCTATCACAGCACAAGCCTTACAGAGCTTACTTTGGGGCTAGTTTAATTGGTGTAAGTGTTGTAAAAAAACGTGTTCGGATACAAGGTGCGACAATATACCCCATGCATGACGCAATGTGTTGCCATGCCGCAAAATTCTTGCAAGAAATTGCGACATTTGTGCGGCCTTGGTGCTTGCCACAACAACGCACAATGTTGTCCCGGTGTAAATCAGCCTTAAGGCATTAAAAACTATGTAAGTAAGGTGCACTTGCAACAATTTTGCTAAATCTCGATTCAACTAAAACTAGCTTTATCCCATAGAAAAACGACAACCGTCAAAACGTCAATGACATATTTTCTTTTTCGTGAGATGTAAACTTCACTGTCAATTTGATATTGTTGTATGGGCTAAATCTAGTATTACTCAAATCGAGATTTAGTAAAATTGCTGCATGTGAACCATAGAGTAGGATGGACGGCGAGTACGATACAATATGTTGAGAGTATCAAGTCCAAAATAAGGAAAAATGTCCAAAACAAAAAGTTACTATAATTATAGCCAAAAAAGTTTGTGATGAATTGAGAACCCTTTATTGCAACTTAAATCAAATTATTACATTGAACACAAAGATGTACCTTTACAGAAACAACTAATTAATATTTTTATTGAAAATGAAAAATATTATAAAGCTGTACCATTCACAAACCAATATCGGATTCAAATAATTGTACTCGATTTGTATAAAGGATTTTTAATTTTCGTCACGTCCATTGTGACGCTGTTCAAATTTTCATACAAAAGTTCTTCACATACGACTCGTATCCAGAACGAATATAACTATTCGAATTCGATATTGGTTCATGAGGTGCACTATTCATAAAACAATGCAATGAAAACATCAAGATACCAAGATACTAATGATTTTCTTAACAAATTTTGAATCTTATTGCAACCAACATAAAGCTCAAAGTCATTGGGATCTCTCCCTGTGTTTGACAGTTTTCAATTACCTGTTCCTGTTGCCGTATTATTTCTTTTAAACTAAGAATTTCGAAACATGCCACACTTATTCGTTCTATCAGTTATTCATAACTTAAAATAATAATTAACTATCACAAATTAAGATCTGTTTTGTTCGCCAACATTTTATATCCAAAAGACCAAAGTCCGAATTATTTGAGTGCAATATAAAGTAATCCCTAAAGCCAAGTAGTTACCAGTGATTTCAGCTTAACGACATATCAAGTCCGAATGATAAAAAAATCAGCTTAAAAAATAGTCTCTTCGAACATTTTATTGCTAAGAAATAATGAGCTGTAACGCCAAAGAAATAGAGTTCAAACGTTATTTTAGACTTTTGGGGCGTTTACCACACAAGAATTGTTGATCGTGTAAAATTTTAATACGAGCTAACTAGTACCCTAAAATTAAGTCTTTAGATTTCATATTTGTTCTTCAGGTCTGCGATTTCGTTCTCAGTCACGTTTTCAGACGTTTTGCAGTAGTTCAGAAGATCAGTGAGCACTGAAACAAATTAAATCATCAGTCTAAATTCTAAGTGTCACTTTCAGAAACATCGATTATATTTTCAAGTATAATATTTAACGATATTCCTCGTAAATACAAAAAAAAAATATGAGGAGCTCGATGGCGCAGATGGTTAGCGCGTTCGGCTGCGATCGTTGAAGTTAAGCAACTTTCGCAGTGGTCGGTCATTGGATGGGTGACCAAAAATATTCTATCTCGAGTTCCTTCGTGCTTCGGAAGGCACGTTAAGCCGTTGGTCCCGGCTGCATCTGCAGTCGTTAGCACCTGCCAATCCGCACGGGGCCCGCGTGGTGGGTCATGGCCCAATCTCCCTATTCCATCCATAGGAAAGGCCTGTGCCCCAGCAGTGGAGACATTAATAGGCTGATGATGACTCGTAAATACCATAGATACAACAACACGAACAAAATCGTGGCCGAAACCTGTCCAAAAGGTACACTGGACGATCCACGGAGCTCCGAAAGATGATCGCGTAGTTAAAAACAATATAAGACATTTTTTAAACATTGAAAGTCACCTTTAATGCTTACTGAATAAGGCCTTATTTAAAATGCGCGTGTCAAAGAGTTATGACAGTTCCAAATGCAAGGTCGTAAAATTTCATTGTACGACGTATTGCTATATGCGGAAGAATATACACCTTATCTCTTTGACTCTACGCGCAATTCTGGAAGTCGATGGGTTCAGTAGAACTCGAAATATAACTAGTAACTAGTTGTGACGAGGGGTTAAGCCCTCGTCTGTGTGAGCAAAATAGCCGTCTAAACAATATTTTTATGTTATACTCATAGGGCAACTGTCACTTGTGTCAATCGGGGTTTATTAGATCTCACAGAGTATATACTTAAACTTGCGGCCCGCCCTCGCTTCGCTTCGGGGTAGAGCTGAAGTGTAGACTACAGTTTTTGTTCTCAGGCTTGTATTATACATAATGACATTCATCTATGATTCTTCTTATACCTGCATGCAAAGTCTCAGCCCGATCGGTTTAAAATTTACAAAGTTTCATACAAACTTTCACTCCCTATTTTATCCGCTTGGGGGGTAGAATTGAACAAAATCCTTTCTTAGCGGATGCCTACGTCACACATTGTGTTATTTCACCTCAAAATTACCACTCCCTTGATTAAAGGTGAATCAGATAAAGCTCTTCATTCTAAGCACAAGAGTAAAACTCCCACGATTCTAACTATAATAGTTTCGACGAAATCCCGGTTTTTCTTTTTTTGTACCACATTGTGAAAAAGAAATAAAAAAAATATTTTGTCTAAACTATTACAGTTATTTTATTTTTTACATTGTATTTCAAAAGGTATTATTTTTATCCATATTATGAGTCTTCTATGGCTGCCCTAGAGCTTGTAGGAACCGAGAAATAGGCGATTTAGTGATTTTCGTTTTTAATTTTTTGTGCTCATGTTATGCAATATTAAAGCTTATAATTTAGTTCAAAATGTAGCTAATAATGTAGACTATCAACTCAAAAAATAACAAGCTTTAACTCGGTGGTATATCGGAAATATTAAGAATTTAAATTTGTGGGACAATGTCCCACATTTTGAAGACTTAATTTTGAAAACGTAGTTATGCTACTTTTTAAATATTATACTATAATAACTATATAAATACGTTGTTATTATATTATTTACTATTTATATAAGATTATAAATGTGTTTGGTATGTTTGTTACATAATCATCCACTTTTGTGGGCCAACTTGTTTGGATGAAATGTGGCACACAGGCATTAAGTTCTTCCCTATTAAGTGCACATAAACAAATAAATCTGTTTAAACATTATCTGTCGTAAACACACTGTCTTCGTTATGAAGAACAGGGGGCCAATCGCCTAACTGGATTGCTTTGGAAAACGCTATCGCTTACGATTTCATTTTGTTATTTCTAACCGCCGAAGTACCTCACGATCATTTTCTTTAACATTGTTATTACCAATGCAAAAGAAAAAAAAAGAGCGCGAGGCATTTGAAAACCTCAGGGGGCTAGAAATAACAAAATGAAATCGTAAGCGATAGCGTTTTCCAAAGCAATCCAGTTAGGCGATTGGCCCCCAGTTGTGAATTCATTTTCTTCACTTTTTATGCATGCAGTTTCGTCGTCGACATCACTGTTATCGTCATATAAACATCCCAAACTGTCCGGTTTTAATAAATTTATTACAGCCTGTGGCAGTGGCATTCTCATTCGGTTATTTTCACGATGTTTTAGCCGTATAGCGGATATCACAGGGTCGGATGACTCGAGCGCCCTGTGAAATAAGTCGGTCATGGTATGAACCCTAGAATCTTTCCGGCTGTGATGTTCTCTGTCCTGACGCCAAAACTTGTTCCTGGATTCTCCTGCCTGTTCGGAGAGTAGTCCAATGGGTAGCGCTGAATTCTCTACAATTTTCTCTCCGTGAATTAGGATTTTGTGAAGGGTAGTAGTCATAGGGTGCCAGTTGTAGTTTTCTACGTATTTTTTAGCTATATTTTTACAAAAAGTACCGAATTTTTGGGCGTCTATTGGTAATCCCGAATTGATCGCTATTAAAATTACATTAAAATCATCTACGAGCCATTTCTCAATATCAAGTATATTGGCAAACGTCTGGCGGCTTTGTTCACTTTTGAATACTCGACGAGCCGTATTACCATCATTCGTGGTCCCTGAGTTAAGCTTAACAAGGGCTACTAATAGACCCATACTTTGCTTAATTTGATTTTGGATTTCTGTTTTTCGTTCTGCAGTAATTTGTCCTATGTCAGAATTTTTTATTACTCGGCACTGTCTGACTCTTGGGTCATTTTTGTATCCCAAGTGAAAAAATGACCCAAAAGTCAGACAGTGGCGAGTAATAAAAAATTCTGACAGAGGACAAATTACTGCAGAACGAAAAAAAAGACAGTTCGGGATGTTTATATGACGATAACAGTGATGTCGACGACGAAACTGCATGCATAGAAAGTGAAGAAAATGAATTCACAACTGTTCTTCATAACGAAGACAATGTGTTTACGACAGATAATGTTTAAACAGATTAATTTGTTTATTTGCACTTAATAGGGAAGAACTTAATGCCTGTGTGCCACATTTCATCCAAACAAGTTGGCCCACAAAAGTGGGTGATTATGTAACAAACATACCAAACACATTTATAATCTTATATAAATAGTAAATAAGATAATAACAACGTATTTATATAGTTATTATAGTATAATATTTAAAAAGTAGCACAACTACGTTTTCAAAATTAAGTCTTCAAAATGTGGGACATTGTCCCACAAATTTAAATTCTTAATATTTCCGATATACCACCGAGTTAAAGCTTGTTATTTTTTGAGTTGATAGTCTACATTATTAGCTACATTTTAAACTAAATTATAAGCTTTAATATTGCATCACATGAGCACAAAAAATTAAAAACGAAAATCACTAAATCGCCGATTTCTCGGTTCCTACAAGCTCTAGGGCAGCCATAGAAGACTCATAATATGGATAAAAATAATACCTTTTGAAATACAATGTAAAAAATAAAATAACTGTAATAGTTTAGACAAAATATTTTTTTTATTTCTTTTTCACAATGTGGTACAAAAAAAGAAAAACCGGGATTTCGTCGAAACTATTATAGTTAGAATCGTGGGAGTTTTACTCTTGTGCTTAGAATGAAGAGCTTTATCTGATTCACCTTTAATCAAGGGAGTGGTAATTTTGAGGTGAAATAACACAATGTGCGTCATAACCTCTACCTGCATGCCAAATTTCAGCCCGATCCGTCGAGTGGTTTGGGCTGTGCGTTGATAGATAACAATGTCAGTCAGTCGCCCTTGAGTTTTATATATATAGTTTCGATTTTCAGGAACGCTGGACATTTTCGATAAAAAAAGTACTTACCATAATAGCCAACGTACAAAACACAAATACCAGTGCCAATGGAATTCGGGTAAACGACTTAGTGTAAATGAACGGAGTCGAGTACGCCTGTATTCGGGTAGTTTTCCTTCTGTTTTTCCGACACCGTCTTCCAACCCGTATTCCGGTGTAAATATTGCTTCGGGTGCCCGAATTCGATTAGTGTCTATCGTACACCCAAATGCAGGATAATGACAAGTGTAATTGAGCCATTACAGTGCTTACTCTGCAGAAAGACTAATAGGCTAGTTGACTCATGTCGAATTGCATTAAATAATTGTTTATTTCTTAAAATATTTGGTCTAAGGAACCTAAATATATCGATTTCACTTCATACAAGCAGAAGATTGATGTAGAAATTTAGTTTTAAAAAATAATTTTTATACTATACTTTTTAAAAACTAAAAACGCTGTTCGCCACATCCGCCATGATTGTGACGTCTCTTTGGTAGTAAACAACTAAATGTCATTCATACATTACCTTAAAACTTGTATTATTAAAACTGATAATCAATGAAGAGACTTAAAATATTATTCAATGAGTCCTTCATCAAAGTGATTTTAACAAAAATAAATTTTACTATGAGTTATTTTCTACGTGCTTACGAGTTTTTGTTTACTACCGGTTGATGTCAGAGCATAGATAATCTATAGACTAAAATGGCCGACAGCGTTTCTGTATGTCCATGAAAAGTCTATTTTAAAATTAAAGATTTGTAGCTTTCTAGGTCCCAAAAAATAGAATACATTTTTTTTTCAGTCTAATAGAACATTTATTAACCATTTAAAACCTTTTTCCAAAAAGGGTCAACTAGCCTATTAGTGTGTGTATTAGAAATATACTCATTAATTAAAACATTAATCGGCCCACCTAGGATTTTAAGTTTTATCCTATTATGGTTTTGTCGGTCCCTAGCTAAAAATAATTATTCATCATCACCAGCCTATTAATGTCCCCAATGCGGGGGCACAGGCCTTCCCTATAGATGGAATAGGGGATTGGGCCGTGGCCCACCACGCGGGCCCAGTGCGGATTGGCGGGTGCTAACGACTGCAGATGCAGCCG